TGCTACTTCAAGGAGATCATGATTTCCTCAAGTGAATGGACTGCGATTTGAGCTTTCAATGAAGTCTTTGAAGTAAGTGTCTCATCTTCAACTTTTATGTCATGATCACAATTGCATTAACCTTCTTCCTGTTTTGTTTCAGATATTTCAGCGTGCAACCCATCGGATGGAAGGAGATCATTCTTCTGGCGCACTACTCTTGCAGGATTACGACCAGGTTCTTGATGAACTTACCTTACTCTTGAGATCAACATCATATGCTAGTATATACCGCATGATCAAGATCATGATGGTCAAGTTAAAGATCTACCAAAACAAAGCTCTTTGTTGTGATTCAGTCATATTGGCCACTGTTCTTAATCCTCGCTGCCGAACCCGCTTTTTTGATAAGCTTTACCCAGCTCATGCTGAGCGTGCTAAGAACCTTTTACGCGAATCTTTTTCACAAACTCTAGCTGAGCGTCTTGAAAAAAATAACACCCTATGCATCTCTCAACCTTCCTCTACATTGGAATCTACATCAGATTCAGTCAGCAAGTATGATGTGTATGCATCTGATACCAACCTTGACACCGACGAAAACGAAGAACTCGACATGTACACAGGTGGTAAGAACCCTGCAAAGTCAAATGACCACCTCGCATGGTGGCAGGTAAGCAACTTTTGATTGGTCTTTTGTTCAGTTCACCATCACTCATACTGACTTTCTCATTACTGGTTTCTTTATGTAATTGTATTCATCAGGAGAACTCCGGTAGCTTCCCAGTTTTGGCAACAATTGCTTGGGATTATCTTTCCCTCACTGCTACGTCCTGCTGCGAGGAACGACACTTTTCCTCGGCTGGTCGGATCGCGACTAACGCTCGTAGCGGCCTGGTTGCCAAGACTATTGAGCAGTCAGTGGGTTCTAGTGCTTGGATGGAGATGGACTTAGAAGTTTCTGGGGAATGGGCTGAGGCACAAGCTTTGGTGCGCAAGTACAAGTCTAAGAAAAAATGATTTTCTTATAATTTTCTATTTATCTTTCCTCACTTCTTATCTTTGTTTTCCCTCACTTCTTATCTTTGTTAATCTTGGTTATGATTGAATATCTTTATCCCCACTCCTCAAAGCCTCACTTTGTATTTTCTTTTCTGTCTCTTTTCTCAGTGCGCAAACACGATTCCGCCCAATACTTTATGCTCTTCTTTTGTTTTCACTTCAATTTCTTCTCTGTCGGGTCTTTTATACTCTTTTGTTTTTGCCTTGTTTTCTTTTATGTCTTGTCTTTGTCTTGTCTTTATACTCTCTTTCATTTTCACCTGAATTTCTTTTCTGGCTTGTCTTTTATACTCTCTTTTGTTTTCCTACTCAATTTCTTTTCTGTCTCTTTTTACACCTTATAGATGTCTTACTGTTCTCTTTCATTGTCTGTCCTTACTCAAACTGCTTTGCTCACTTTTTGGATGATAATAAAAACTTCTTTGTACATATTAAACTTGTGCGTCGCACAGCGAGAGACCCCTAAGCCTTGGTGGCTTTCTGAGATTAACCACTATAGCAACTATATAGTGCCCTTAAAGTGGACCACCGCTGCAATATAAGATCCAGATATCGGTGATGGCTTATATCGCAGCGGTGAAAAGATATAACATATCGTACCAACACTACGATATCCAAAACTGGTCAGATATTGCAGCGTATCGCAGCGATCTCGGCATTGCCTCATGCAAATGATAGTAAGGCGGACATTTTCTAGCTGCAGGGCAGTGGTGATGGTGCATTGTAGAATTGAATGTGACGTCTTTTCCGCGGCATTGCCATCAGACGTGGCCACAGTGGTATTGACAAAGGACTGGGACAGTATGTTGGGAGACAGGCATGGATTAAAATGTCTGAATGACAATACTCATAACAATTCTAATTTGGAGATGTGGCCATGGCACAGTGGGGTGTTAGTTTTGGAACTTGAAGCAGACTATGTTACTACAGCCAAGATTTCATGGATAAAGATACGGGGGGGTGGAGGGCCTCCCACGGAACTCTAGTTATCTTGAATTCCTATTGAGAGTATCCTTGAGTACATGATTAGCTGTGTAGTCTAAAGAACAAAGTTGATCATCACAGGTCTTATTGTCGACCACCCCGGTATTGATTTCTACGAGCCTTGGGCCATCATATCCTCTAGAAATACACCGTAAAGCAGCAAAGCTTCCTCCCTTACACAGAGTCAGGATCTTTGGTTCACCAAAGTGTAAAGCCTGCCCCTCGCAGTCTCACAAGGTTAGAGCGTACTAGCTATTTACTGCCCTTAATCTCTTTCTCTCTTCCTCAAATTCTCTTCTTAGAGGTCAACTAGCTGTTGTCTTCACTTGGGTGTACCATGTGAAGACCAAGCTATACCTTTCTCATCACATTCTTAGTGAAGAGTACGCCTAACAGATGTGCACTCCTCACAAACTTAGTTGCTTGAACTAAGGCCACATGTGTTTATTAGAAAGATTATCATGAAACAAATCTTGCAGGATCAGCTCCAATTTGATCTGTGGGTAATTTATTTATTTTGAATAATGTGTATCTTTTAAATATCACATAGAAAGAGAAACAAAAGAAAATAGACTAAGTAGAAAAGAGTAACTGAATATGAAGTTAGATATAAATAGACAATCTGCACCCTTAGATCATCCACAGTTGTGTGGCGTAAACCGTGTTGCACAGATATTTAGGGCAAAATCATCCACAGCCAATGTCCTAAGTTTTCACATTGCTAATGGAACTCCCTCTGTGCAACCCAAAATAGCAGAAATTTGGTCTATTTTGGCTTGCTCCCTAAATTCATCTGTACCTTGCTTCTCCCATAATCTCCCACTTTGACAGCCGGACTCTGTGCAAATTATCTCACTCAATGATCAACTAAACCATAACTCACCTCCCCATTTATGCTACAAGCCATACTGTAAGGAAACATGGCTGTACATTGTTCAAATTTCATACATTAAACAATCTGTGCAACCCTCTGTACAATAAAAGTTTAGGGCACGGTTGTGGATGCGCTTATATACATGTAATTGACGATTATATCATATTTATTGTATTTGTATGTAATCAAGTTCACATGTTTCTTTTTATTATTACTACATGTGATTGGTTAATTACATGTAGGTTATTGATATGTGATGAGTTTGTTGTAAGGAAGGAGATATGCCGCTGAGGCGGTTTATGCCCTTCCTGACACAATTTCTCACAGGCTTCATTTAACCTTTTGCAGAGCTGGTGGGGAGCAAGTGTTGGGCTAGAGGTGCCCAGTTAAGTTGGCTAACTTGATTTGATCTTAACACTGGTGAATCACGCCAAGGGCTGTTGTCTCATGTAAAAAACATTCAAGAAGTAAATAAAAATTCACTTCAGAGATTGGAGGAGTCTTAGCCACCGCAGAAAATTCTACGTGAATCCAGACTGCAGCATACCACTGCCCATATCATGATCATAAAACTTAAATCTGGCCTACAATTGGTGCCAGTGCTTTTGGTCTTTGGTTGGATGCTTTTATTCCCTTGGTCAAGGTAAACAATGGGGCTCAGTCCTTTTCAGTGCTTTTCAGGGCTTCATTGTATGCTTTTGGTCTGCTTTTACTCTGATCACATTATGCTTTTTGTTTTGCATTCTTTGAACAATTATGTAAATCACTACTCCTCGAAAGCAGTTCTTGTTCAATTAAAGTGGTGTCATTTTAAATACACAAATCTTGTGTCTAATGTTCAGCCCTTTCTTCTCACCTACATTATTGACCACCAGATAGTCTGCTCTCACTACTTCACCTTTCTTGCATACAACTCCAGCACTAGAAACTGGGTTCAAATGTACTTGATAGGAGTTAATAAAGAACAATTTTGTAATGAACACATATTTGGGAAATTTCTCTCATCCTGCCAATTTTCTTGCTTCTGGTCACTTTGCGTGATTTTTGAAGGAGCAAAAGCGCTGCCTGCAGAGTGAAAATGCACCTACTAGTCCGATACCAACAGATTGTGAGGGCGGCACCAGCCGCCGGGACCCTACCATTGTGTTATTTCTCACCCACAAACTCGGCGTAAGCTTCATCGCCTATCAGTCACCCAATATCTTTGAAAATCCCACAATTTCGGCCAACTGAGTAATGAACTTGACAGGGTAAATCAGACCATGCATCCTGGTCCCTGACATTTTGTCCACTGCAGTTGTTCAGGTGCGTTGATTGCAGTTTTCCCGTGAGGAGAGGCTGAGCAGGGTTGAAGCTGAAACCAAAAAGGGAACACGAAGGAACTCAAGATAGCTCCAACAATGACATCTGGAGAGCCTTCAAACGATATTGACTTTTTAGGCATGATCTAAAGTTCAACTTTCTATGTGCTGCTCGTCAGAATGTGTGTACACATGGATTAGTAAAAGATGAACGCCGCGCTGTCCCGACAAAACAGCTTTGAATCCCCTTCATTCCATACGATGTACCTCGAAACAGAAATACTTCGATTGTACTGCTCGGCGGCGTACGCTGACTTCGAGGCTCTCGGAGGCTGCAATGAGAAGTTGCGAGCTACTTTGCCAGGGGTTTTTGATTAGCCGGAAGGCTACCCAAAGATACCCATTTCTGGAAATGCTTTGCCGGTGGATTACACAAATTGGCAAGTTTAAGAGTAATCTCCTTGCCATATCGATGACAAGGGCTGAGTGAAGTGCCATCTTAGAAGCAAGGGATGGAGATTGAATTCTTTGTAAATGGTAAAAATCAATTCCTCGCTAATTAGCCTTTGGTGAGACCCATATCATGTGCATTCCATTTTCAGTGATTTCTAGTCTTTGAGTTGTTTACCAAACTGACGTCATTTCAATTTGATCATCCTCTGTTTTATAATAAGCTGAACTGTTTACCTTCCTGTTCCCCCACTCGCTGCTTTCCTCACTCTCACCTCCTTTAGTCGACTCTTCACCATTTGATACAACTTACACTTTCTCATCAAAACAAAACTTGACTTTTTTCAATCATGTCCAATGCATTGTCATCACCTAGTGCGCTCTTCACAACTCATGCTTATTCTACTCATATCCAAATCCTATCTGTTGCGCGTCTCGGGCTTGGTCTCGGTGCTCTGATCGCTCCAGCATTCTTCAGTCAAACGTTAGTTTCCTCCTCGTCTTCTTTATTTTTCTACCTATAAAGTAATGGATTTATCAACCGGAGCTCATGAGTTGATGTATAAACCTTGAATTCGGCAAAGATAGCTTGTTCGGCTTTCAAAGTTTAGGAAACAAGACTTCCAACAACAACACTGCCAATAACACCTCCGTTCGCGCTGGCTCTCCTGAGGAACTTTCGGTAGCCATTAGGTCTGTCTTCTACCCATTCTTTGTGTTGAACCTTCGACTCATGATGGTTTCTCTATTCCGTGAATTCGCGTCCACAGGTTGTTTGCAGTGAGAGATATCGGTCTTGGGCTCTTGTTGCGCGACTCGGCCTCAGCAGTTAGTCTGGTTCTTATCTCGAAGTGATCCCAATGCTGACTCGAACACCTCTTATAATTGTTCTACAGGTAGTCGAACGAAGCTTACAGGTCGGAATGATAGTCGATCTACTCAGCGTGCTCTCTGCTGGAATTGGATTTATAGAGGTCAGCTTCTAATCTTTCGATTGAACTAATGTTCACCTTTGTCGAGATTTTCTGAACCTCTGTCTCTTTCACATAGGGAACCTTGAGCCAAGAAGTCGCTACGGCTGTTGGCACGGTGGGCGCTGTGATGGCTGGTGTCGGGGCTTATGTGCTGAATAGGTGATTTGACCATCAAGCGTGTCACAAGGCCGTCGCTTTTGCGTCTTTCCCACCTCGGTATTCATCCAGAATTGTAGAGCTTTTCAGCTAGATCAAATGTTCAATACGATAACCGCAAAATATCTCTTAACCCCCTACTCTTCTTTCCTGCTCCTTGAAGCCACAACGTCTTTTGACCGAAAGAGTTGGTGGCGATGCCATGCACTCGATGCCTCTCGCGGTTTCCATGGCCCTCTTACACTTGATATCAAAACCATGCCAGCAATATGGCCGAATCTCACATAGCAAAGGGTTGACATTTTTCAATAAAATGCGTTCTAAACTACCCATGATCAGATGCTCCTGAAACTTGAACTGAAATGCGCGAGGCGCTCTTTCAAGTAAACATTCAACCAGTTGAACTACATCAAGGTCTAGGTTTTGTTCAGTGCAAGTGAATTTACACCCTTCCTGAGCTCGAAGATAAAAATCAGTGGTGTTGTGTAAGATGAAGGCCGGTCTCCACTTCCGCTATCACCTACCGTATCCTATATTGATCGATTCAAATCGCTCGGTAACCAGCAATTTTTAACCATCACTTTGGAGATCTTTGGAATTACAAGTTTGGTCAATGATGTTTGACGGACGACACATGACAGCGAGTATTGCTGCCTGTTCATCGCGTGAGATATGGCCATGCGCTGAGAGAGCTGAAACATATATTGCTGATGCCCCTTTTCAGCTTTTTACCCTCAAGAATGGTGCGGGTGTGGACTCTGGAGCCTTGTTGCAGTGCCACTGGACGCCACACCACCCCCGTTTCATCTGGTTAGGATCGCTATCGGTCGTAAGTGTGATCGTCAATCGACTTTTCTCGCTCAAGCTCAGCGACGCCCAACCGAGGTTCCTCCTATTAAAGTCACAAACTCGAAAACTTACACCTGATGATCACTTCGCCGCTTCATATGCTTAGCTGACTTTGCTCAGGTGTTCTTCACCACAAGATCTTTCGTGGCGAACGCTTTAAAAGTATCGACCTACCGAGTGTGAAAAGCCTCTGGTATTCCAGCTCACCCCAACATTCAATATCTTGTGCTTCTTCATTTTTGCTTCTTGAACAAATCTTTCATCTTCGGACCCTAACTTCTTTCGACAGGTTGGCCTTGTAAATAACCTGTGAATAACATTCTTCATTTTTTTTGTTTTTTTCCGACTTGTGTAAAGAGACGAATTTCGAAGGACAATTAGTGGACCCACAGATTTATCAATCGACATCAAATCCAATACTTCAACAGTAGTGAAGGCACATTCCAATTCGAGTCAAGAAGTATATTGTACCCTAACTACGACAACATGGTAAGCCCTTTGCCTGCATGTCAAGTGTAAATCAACACCTTCCCAAAGAGAGCACATTGTTTTCTGTAGCCTTGGTGACAATCAAGTTTTTCACTGGTTTTTCACATTGTCCGAATCCCTTTTTCATCACATCACCTTGTCAATTGCATCTGGATGCCTAATTAATCTTTATAGTCTGTCTTTATTGTTGCGATCAGCAAATTTCACTTCATTCACTCTTTAGAACTTCGAAATCAAATTCCCAAAATATATATTCATAGTTAGATCATCCTGGAATATCTGGCTTCACTTCTTTATATATATATACTTTCGTGAAGCTAGACTGTAATTTCAACGCAACTCCTGAGTTACTATCTTGTTTTGGAATAACTCATCTCACTGACCCGAACTCCTTTGCAACTTTTGACGACTTGAATTGCAGTCTACGATGTCCAATTCCACAGATACCCTACCTTCGACAGCAACAGAGGATATCATATTTCCTTCGTCAGAGACAGGAACAAACGGCACCAGCATTTTGAACTCTTCACACCATCTCTCGGCTCTCAAGGCTCATGTGATCGCTGGCATAATCTCTGTGGTGGTCCTTATCGTCCTGCTTGCGGTAGTATTCATGTTGCTCAGGCGATATCGAAGAATAAAATCGCGTAAAGAAATGAACTCTTCCGACAGGGTTACCGCCAGACATACTACTGGAATCGCCCCGCAAACTAAGGCGGTTATAGTTGACAAGCTAAAGCATGAAGAAAGACGACTGGAATACTCGGATCCATCACGTTCCAAATTACATTGCAAAATCAGACCCGACGCTTCATCCTCCCAGAGGATCAAAAATCCTCAGCCGCCAAGTTACTCTTACTATCACATGGATGATCATAATTCACCTTCTAGTAGCTCAGCATCATCATCTTTTGACGACACGAGTCCATTGGATTCAACTGCTGATCCGTTCTTTGATAGATCAACTGGTCGTACAACAGTCACTCATATCAGTCCATTACAAACTGAAGGTCCGAAGAATCTCACACAGCTTCCTTATAACGTATTTGCCAAAGCCGTCTTTACGCGAGAAGCGCCAAACGTAGATCGCTATCGCCTTCGACCTTCTCGACTGAATCGCATCTCACGATCTCCCACACCTACAAATCTCGAAGCTCTCGAAACAATTGTTGCGTGCGTGGACTATGAGTTGAGTTCTCTCTCAAATCCTTGATTGAAACTTTGAAAACTAAAACATCTCATGATTTTTCCTCTGACGTGCACTTTCATCAGATATAAATCAGATCATCCTACAGCACAAGAGGGTCAAGATAAATCCAGAGCAAATGCTGAACCTGAGAAACCTGAAACTCCTTCACCTGTTACTCCTGAAAATTCGGAAGGCTCTCCTGAGCAGAGGGCGGAAGAGAGATCGTCGATGATTGGACGAGGTGAATCCTATTACTGGTACGTTGAACCTTTCCTTCATAACTTATCTGCATTTTCGGGGGTAGTGTGCTAAAGAATTTTGAAATTGGCTTTACTCGGTTTAGGAAAAACCCGCCACGGATTCGTACCCCATGATTGATCTTCATGAACCTCATTCATTTGAAAACTTGCCCCTGGAAAGAAATCTCCACTCACCTGCTCTGAAGAACTTGTCGATCTCATTGGACAATTGTCACAGACCGACAAGGAATTATTTGATTTTGCCACCTTGCGATCATGAAAACACACCAAAAGAGGTCTCTTTTTTCCTTCTTGGACAAAAGAAACTGTAGACAAAAAATTGTACATGGTGAATGAAGATTTTCCGGAATACCAATAAAAGGACATGAAGACTAGGTCGCTTTTTTCCTTTCTCTCTCTTCACATCTGTTTTTGTGTTTGTCTTCAAGATGTACTTGTTTGCGAGTATTTTTTTTGTAAAACTTTTTAATTATGCCACATACCCGGATCTTTAATATAACAAAAGATAGAACAGATGATCTTAAACACATATGATCTTACAGAAACTTTGTTAAATCTCAAATGCAAATAACAGAATTCAATTTTACTGGCAAAATCTTTCAGACATTCGTCGTTGATTTGAAGGAGCTTGGTCATGAAATAGGTAATAATAAGTTTGTTGAAAGTGACAAAGCTGAATCATAGTATCCGTAAGGATTGTTACCCCTCTGAATTTAATCCACACGCAGTTTCAATTCATTGTACATATCCAAGGATATATTCAATCTTGGCTGAGAACAAAAATACATCTAACAAGAGTTAAACTGAGCTATTCCAAAAGCGCAAGGTGCCTGTCAGGTGGTGGGCGCGGCTTTCTCGAAATCTGGCGCAACGGTGAGCAGGAATTCGACCCAAACCATGTGCATTCAAGTTTGTTTATTCTCTTTCAACTGAGAAAAGTTCTGGGCCTTTGTTTTCAAGCACCGCTTGCGCAATAAGGTGCTTGAGCCCTCCATCATCACAATTGGGTTATGATAAACTTGATATGTATCTTTTGGATCAGCTTTTTTCTTTCTTTCTCCTTCATTTTCTTTTGAATTGGTTTTTCAAAATAAATTTATCTGTTCCGGAGTATTTTCTAAAGAATTAGCTTCATATTCTACACAGATGGATATTGTATTCAACAAGATAAAAAAGATGATTCAGACGACTAGACTTACATATTTCCATATGGATCATCGTGGTATAGAAAGTTTGTTAAATACCACATGCAAACAGTGAATTCCATTTTACCGCCAAAATCCTTGATTGTTAGACAATTTGTACATCTTTTGAGTTGAAAGAGTGTGGTACCAAACGAGAAATGAAAAGAAACAATGATGCGTATGCTCAAGATGAGCAAGTTGATTTTGGTAACAGCAGGAGTATCAAGCCTCTAATCATATGCTGTTTCAATTTCAATATCAGCTATAAACTTCCATCTGTGTCTCCCTTCCACCATAGATGACAATGAACCCACGTCGGGTCTACAAACTTGATCAACAAACTTGCTGAATGATACAGACAAGGGTTAAAGTGAGCTACTGGCAGTTGGGAACACTGCCGGGAAGGCATACGTAGTCCGCATTGCAATTTGTGCTGGGTTGCGGTTTTGACAATCTTCGGCCACGGAATTACCAGAACTCAGGATTTACCGCGGACATCAAAAGGTAACTCAGCCCCATGGTACTACACACAGACTTATCATCTCTATCAGTGTGCACCTTCAAACATATATTGTCGGCATGTAGTATCATCACGTCATTACCAGCTTCTTTGCAAGTGGGGGTTTTGCTAAACACACATTGGTTCGTTGGCATAGATTCAAAACAGTATCCTAGAGAAAGACCCAGAAATAAAACTGTTTCAGGTGAGATTGGAGAGGCTCAGTTTGATGGAACAGAGGCTTCAAATTGTTTATTGAAAGGGAACACAATTCTTGCAATCTGGAAGATGTGGAGTCACAATATCAATAATTTGTTGCAATGCGCTGCTTTTAAAAGATTTGAGAGACTCACGGGAGTGGACGTTGGTTTGCTGACATGTTGCGTCCCAATTCCCATCTGTCGTGGTCGTGTCTTGACAATCGGGATCTATGGATGATGGAGTTGTCGTAAGAAGGTCAATAGATAAGTCAGATGATTGTCGGAACTTTCTCTTGGGAAGGCGACTTACCGCCAGGGCACTTTTTGTTGAAGTCTGTATTCACAAGGCACTCTATCGAAAGTGATGCACTCCATCAATGTTGAAGATTTCACGTACATAGAGTAGTAAAAGATAATGCCCTGTTAAGCCCAAGCAGGCAGAGTGTTGATAACTTACCGATTTGATTTCCGTTCATGAGGATGTAGTCTTTGTCACAAGTGAAACCAGTATTCGCGTTCCACTGATGGAGATTGACCTCACAATTGTGACCTATTAAAGGTTTTTACATCAATCAAAGAGAAGGGGAAATGTGGATAGTGCTGTTTACTCGAATCGAGGGGTTGAGTGACTGGGTTGAAGGATGAGATGAACTGCCCACCTGAGGCCTGGGTACACTGTTTCCAGGGGCATCTCCATTCTTTCGGTGGCTGACGAGGAACAGGGGTATAACAAGCTGATATTCTCAGTGAGATCGGCAAAAGGATGACGATCAGTCGTCTCCTCGCGTCGCGGTCATGACGATACGGAAGGAAAAAAGTATATTACTCACAAACGTCGGTGTCAGAGTTTGGAATACTTCTTAAGCCTCGGCCCGCATTACAAATGATGTCTGCGCTGATAACAGAAGCCACGAGGGCCGCAACACATAAAGTGAAAAGCCAAAATGGATTCATGAAGATGTTGTTGTGCGAGGCGGGGAATGGTGGGCGGTTATGACTTTGATTCTGTGGGACCTATAGGGGGATCTTATAGTGAAATTTGGCGGCGTATGTCATATAGACCCTAAATTTTTGGTTGGCTACCATTATCCTGTCCAAGTTCTGTACAGCCAGGAAGCTTCAGGGTAAAAGGTATAGAAACATCTTTCAGCTTCTTGAAAGGATGTTGCATGACTCCCGTTGGGGAAAGCTGGCCTACGCAAAGCGATGTAAATTATACTCCATCTGCAAAACTTGAGGCCCAAGATCCTGCGGAATTTGTTCATTATTCTGATCAGGCTACAATAGCTTAGGATCAAGCCCTGTACAGCCTTGAAGCTTCAGGATTCGCCACACAAGAGGTTTAAGTAAGCGGTTTCCGACCGTGATAAGCTTTTGCCAGTGCGGAAACGGCAATTCTTGATCGAGGACAATTGATGTTCTTTACGAAACATTTTTTCCAAATCGAAGTTACATAATCGGGTCGAAAATTTGTTGAAGAAGTAAACTCAGGAAAGCTCAGCCAAATTCCCCAGAATATATACCTTATGACTTGCATGGCTCATCAGTCGCTTTTTCCCCTGCAGAAAACTTCCCCCATCAGCACTACTTCCACCATTTTTTATGCTTTTGATTACCGTGTTTGCAATTCCAAACCTTTTTTAAAAGTTTCAATACTTCCTTCATCTCCATTGATGTTTCTAATCTGAGTGTTTTGAACAGAGCCAGAAAAGCAGGCTTTCTAGCCTTTGGATAAACTTCTCACTTAGGTGTGACATCCACCCCATGGTATGATATATGATTCTCAAGAGTTCTGCGTGCACCTCCAAAGCTATATTGTTGACATATGTATAGTATCATGATGCGTTTACGCGTTGCAATAAGACTTGTCAATTGATATCCATGGGCTCATTGGTATAAAGTTGAAACACTGTCTTTATAAGATGAGGATATACACAAGTTAGATCCGGAAAAGAAACTGTTTCAGGTGAGATTGCACACGGGTGAGATATCAGAAGCTCAGGTTGGTGGAACAAAGACTTCAGATTGTTGATTAAAAGGCAACACAACCACCGCAATCTGGAAGATTTTAAATTATAGTGTCAATAAATTGTAATGCCTGATTTTACATAGAATTTGAGCGAGACTTACGGGAGTGGACGTTGATTTTCACACATGTAGCCGAGTGACTGCCGCTGTCTGAGCCTGAGGCTATACAATCTTTTCCTATAGACGGTCAATTTATAGTCATCGGACCAGTCAGTTGATAAGTAAAATAATTGCTGGAACTGTCACATGGGAAGTGACTTACCGTTACCTCCAGGGCACTTGCGGGCATAGTCTGCATTTACATCACACCCTATGGAAAGTCATGAACTCGATTAGAGGATGGAAATTCCACATAGAGCGAACAAGAATCGCGTTTGCATCCCAGGGCGGCAGATTGTTGACAACTTACCGATCTGTTCGCCGACACCAGGGTTCAGAACGTAATCTTTATCGCAAGTGAAACTAACAGTCGGATCGTTCCATTTATGGTTATTGACTATACAATTCTGACCTGATAAAGGTTTCAACAGCAGCCAAGGAGGTTGGGCAATTAGTGTCAGTGCGGGACACTCGGATTGTGTGGTTGAGGGACTGAGTCAAAGGATGAGATAAGGCGCCTACCTGAGGCCTGGGTACACCGATTCCAGGGGCACTTAAATTCTTGCGGATTCTGATTACGAACAGCGGTATAGCAAGCTGATATTTCCAGAGAAATTAGGACAAGGAGAATGGTTATCTATCAGACATCGCCTGGCGTCTTGTTCAGGACAATACGAACGAAAAAAGCACATTACTCACTAACGTAGCTCGGGTCCGGGGCATAAGTCTGTAAGCCTCGGCCCGCATTGCAAATAACGTCAACGCTGATAGCAGAAGCCACGAAGGCCGTAACGCAGAAAAAGGCAAGCCAGAATTGATTCATGAAGATGTTGTGGTGAAAGGGGGGATGGGGAATGGTGTGTTTTCGATTCTGAGAGAATTAGAGCGGGGGTTTATATAGGATTTTGACTTCCATGGACCCTCAATTGTTTGTATGCCTCCGACGATGTTTTGGATCAAGCGCCATACAGCCTGAAAGATAGGCCCCAGGATAAATGGTAGATATAGGATGGCTTGTTCCAACTTCTTGGAAGGATGTTCTATCTAGCCGATTCGGGAAAGCCTGCCCGCTGAGAATTCTCAAAAATGTAAAAACAGATGCAGTTACGGTCATGTCTACTATGTAGACCCTGGGCGGCCAGCCGCATTGTCAACTTACCTTACCTAACATACCCAATATGGACGTAAAATCTTTGGTTTGTTCTGCACCATGAATATGTATGAAAGTTCGCCGGTCACAAGGAACAACCTTTTGGTAGTTAGCACATCATAGTCATAGCATGAAACGTTGACTGTTACGATCACATTGCCCAACGTGGAAAGCAACCACAATACCCGCACTTGCTTGACCAATGTGATACTGCAAATGATCTTTATGTTGGGATTTGGCTGTGGAATTGATGGATGTCTTGCGGTCCAACAATTTTCTTTAGTATGAGCAACAACTGCCATGCTCTCATGCGAGCCATTTTTTCAACGTAGATGCAGTCCTGGGCCTTCTTCCCACCTATAACATGCTGAATATGCAGCTTAAGCCCTTATATCTGACAAATCTATCACAAAGCTGATCCATACATATATTTTGAGTCCATCTCTACCATTCAAATCAGCCCTGAGCCCTAATAGTATAAGGCTGCAAAATCAAATAAACAAAATATGATAATAATGTAAGAGATCAGTGGTGTTTATAATATTTGTGGATACACTCAATGATCTCTTTCCTAGATTACCACCACATGGATTTCATTTACGAAGATCCTATAAACTTTTCTTTGAGATACTTCATTTGATCTGGTCAGTATCACAGTCTTTGAAGCATTTCATCAATCTACAAACCTCGAAGGATATTTCCTACTTCCCTCAATCCCAATTGTATATTTTTAATTTGAGCTCTTTGAACAGAACCAGAAAGTGACTCTTTGAAGCTTTCAGGTAGAGTTTTCAATTAGATCTAATCAGCTTAGAGCTATGTGAATTCTAATCGTCCTCAAAGGACCTCTATCAATGTCCAAGCTTCTGAATAGTTCTTAGTGTTTGTAAAAAGTGATGGTTCGAAAAAAGCCTGAAATCACCACTTTGGAGAATAAAGACAGAAAGTTTGGAGCATACTGTCTTTCTTGGTCAAGTAGAAGCCACTCAAATTTTTGATCGTGAAAGCATGTGACAACAACCTATCGAACGGAAATTCAAATATTGCAATGGCAGGTATATTTTCCAATGGTTTCTCCACCTCACCAGCATCTATTTCCCGAGTGTTGATACCACATGTGTGAGAAACGTGGCTTTGAGAGGAAGTGCTCTGAAGTGTGGCATGATCGAACTTGAGAACGTGTGATGAAGATTTCATCGAGAATGTCGCTTGTGTAGGGGTATGACCCGGCCCCGCAATTTCAGGGCCGGCCCTGGGGCCGGGTCAAAACCGGCCTCGGCCACGAGGTGCCTCAGATGGCTAGCGGGCAGGCACGGGCAGGCCATGGGTCGGGCCTGCCTTTAGGCCCGGGTCGGGCCAGCTGTTTGTGAGGGGATTCGAGGACACAAATTGAGTTAATTGAGCAAAAAGAGCAAGACACAAATAAAAAAATCTTTGTAAATGAGGACACAAATGAGCGTGCAGAAAGAATAAATAAACAAAAGACCATTAAAGAGTGTAGAGAAAACAATAAAGAAGTTTAGAATAGAAAAAAAAGACAAGCCAAACTACACGGAAAGAATAATCCCCCATGACTTGAGACAAATCTGAGCTTCAAAGTTCTGATTGGTCATCTGTGATCGATAATCAGACATCACCCTTGAACCAGCTGAAAATATCCTTTCTGAAGGACCACCCGAAGCAGGAATAGCAAGCATTACCATAGCCATCCGAGCAAGGATTGGCCAGTTTGAGCGATTAGTTTTCCAGAATACTAAGATATCGGTACGTTCATCCACAAGAGGGGCAAGAAGGTACTCCCTCACTTCATCTTCAAGTTGAACACATTTGCGTCGTTTGATAAAGTGGTGTGGTCTATCATCGTCATCTTCGAACACAGGGTCTGATTCGACGATTTCGATCTCAGGATCGAGAGGGGGTTTGAATTTGCGAGCTTGCTCGGTAAAGTAATTTATGAGTTGATCTTTGTCAAATCCGAGTTCTTCTAAAGTAAAAGCAGTCACAGCATTGAGCTTTCGGCGAGGGTCGAGAATTGGGGAACATATGTAAACAGGCTTCTTCAAAGCTAATGTGGAATATCGGACTAGTTTCTTGACCATAGGACGAATTGCTGCCTTCAAGTTGGTACAATCAGAAGCCCCCCATGCCTATGTTTGAAAAAGATTGGTTAGAAATTGTGTAAATATCCATAAGTGGTTAAGGAAAGAAAAACTTACTTTTTCGAGTTTTTCAATGAGCCATTGATAGTCGGGCATTGCTCGTGAGAAGGTGGGATAGTCATCGGCTTCAATTTCCTTGATCACAATCGCAAGAGGTCGGAGAAACTTGACTAAGTTGCCAACCAAGGTCCATTCGTCTTCGGTTAGGGCGAAAGGTTCTAAACTATCATTGACATTGCAATACGATTGAAGGACCTTCTTGAGTTCAAAGAATCGTTCGAGAGAATAAAAGGTTGAAGACCATCGAGTTGAAACCTCATGAATCAGTCCGACCTTTCGAGGCTGTGAGGAAGTGGCGATGAATTGGTCCAGAGCCTGTTTGAGCTGAGTGCTCAATCGGACTTTTTTATGGAAGCTGCGAATTCGAGTTAAGATTGAGTGGACTTCGAGATGCGGAGTAGGTTCAATCAAAGAATTAGTACCATCAGGAATATCGTCATCTTGAGGTAGTTGAGGATCTAAAGCACTGAGAGGATCAGGAGGAGTCTTGCTGTCAAAAATCGAGATTCCGGCTTTGGCGACTAGATTGATAACATGGGCGACACAGCCATGGAGGTTCTTCTCAGGATCGAATTGAGGTATGAGCTGTTGGAGTTCTCGACCCATGGTTTGATTGTTTGAAGCATTATCAGCAGTAATGGAGTAGAGTTTATCGGTGATACTGAATTGATCTAATGTGTGCTTGATGAGAGCAGCCATGTTTTTACCAGTATGGGCTCCATCGATTTCCTTCAAAGCTAAAACCACCGATTGCATTTGAAATCCTCGGTCATCCAGTGAGCCGTAATTCCAAGCATCGGTACGCTACTAGGTGAAGTCCAAGCATCACAAGTGATGCTGATGTAGTCCAATGAAGCGAAGAGGGAAGTGAGACGGTTGCGAGCAAGACGGAATTGAGAGAAGATACCGTCGGTGATGGCGGTTTGTTTCGACATAATCGGGGCGACAGCTGGGTTAATCCAGGATAAAAGCTCGCGGAAGGAAGGAGCGTCGACAAGAGAAACTGGGAGTTCTTGATTAACGATAAGCCGGATAACTGCATTTGTGAGGTTTCTCCTGTTAAGAGATCCCATCTTGAAAAAAAAAGAAAAGTATGAGAAAAAAAAAGGAAAGTATGACAAAACTTGAATAAAAATTTGAAAACAAATATACTTACACTACTAGTCTTTCCACTTGCAGAAAAGGCTGTAAGGGTTTGTTGAGAGGTGTCGATCGGAGCAACAATGCCATGAGCACGCAAGAGATGGCGGCTCATAGATTTGGTACTTCCAGTCTTATCGATGGCGATCGGATCTTGACACACAACAACAGGGGCCTCCAAGTCTGGAACTGTGTCAACACGACCTTTGTTGGCACGGCAGACATTTGAGGTGGTGCCGTCCCTGAACGTAACGGTTGAAAAATACTGCCACACCCAAGAGGTACGGTTGGTGGCAGTATGTTCGGATTCGACGGCACTAGCCACCGCGGAGACTGAGTCGGATGGTGCGATTGAGTTAGAAGTCGTACTGGAGGTGGTGGACATGTTGGTGTTGGTGGTGGTGGGTTGTGGATCGGTGACCTCACGACGAAGGCTTCGTCGTGACATTGGGGTGGATGATGGGGTGTGAAAGGGTGCGAGGGTATGCGGAAAAGGGGTGGAAGGTGTCTCAACAACCCTTTCACCCCTTTGTTGGGCCAGGATTTTACGGCGGCCCTGGCCCCGAGTGGCCCTGGAACAGGGCCTTTGGCTCTATCATCAGGTTAGGGCTAGGGCCCCGGACCGAGCCCCGTGATGACTTCAAAACCCCTCGGGCAGACTCGGCCGGGCAGGGCCAGGATTTCATCGAGAATGTCGCTTGTGTGATTCTTGAGCGCTGCGCATTTTGCTGTAGCCTGTAGCTGCTGCGGCAGGTTAAAGGCAAAAAAGTTGACTTGATCGAAGTTGATGGAGAAATTCGAAATCGGAAGACCGAGGCTCGAGGCGATTACAAACAGATTAGGAAACCGGTAAACTAGAGGATCCGGGGGGCGCGCCTGGGACCCTCTGGGAATCTGGGACTCTGGGAACCACCTGTCATAACGCATAACTTTATGGGTCTATCAGTCTCGTCTGTGTATGTAAAACTGACCACATACCAATATAGGGCTGTGACCCGGTCCCGGCCCTGCCCGGCCGAAGGTGCCCGGCGATATTTTTAACGCTGGCGGTCCCGGCCTCGGGGCTCTGAAACCTAATCAGAATAGGGTGCAAAGCCCTGCGGGCGCCCCGGGCGCCCGGCCCGGCCGTCTGCCCGATCCTGTTTTCGCCAAAAATAATATAAAAATTTTCCCTTTCCAAGGGTTTTTTACTCGTAAATCTGGGCCCGGCCCTGCCCGGACACCTAAGGCCTGAGATTCGGGCAGGCCCTGGTCGGCCCTGAGAAGTTTCCAGGGGACCTCGGGTCTACCCAGGGTCGGGCTTGGCCCCGGGGCCGGCCACGAACTCTCAGGGCCGGGTCACAGCCCTATACCAATAACATCAATTATGCCTTATGAGTTTTGCACATACGCTAAGGGCTTCGCCATCCGTGATATGGCTGCCAACATGTCCTTGGACAGGTGTGTGACACAATTCGCCCTTCATCCGTGTGATCATCCCCTCGACATCAGTGAATCATTACCTTCCATGTTCTTGTACTTCTCTTCAACTCGACCCATACCTGCCAACCATGCTGCTACACGACTTTGTAGCGCACATTGCCGCCACCAGTCCTCAACTCAGTCAAACACTTACTATCACCGACTTTGTTCGATTCTTCTCCCTAGCCTCCGAGGTCCAACGTAGTGCCGGTGTTTCCTTGCGTCTCACACCAAAACGGGGGCCGACAATCTTGCCTTTCCTCACCACTGCGCTTTCGCCCCACTTCCCCCACGCACTGATGAACGATTTATGGAGTTTATCATTTCCGTGGTTAGCATCAACACCGTTCGACCCCATTGGATCCATCCGCGCCTTTGGACTCCAATCTAACTTGACAACTAAGATCCCCGAACGTTTTTTACGCGCGCCGGTCTCTCAATGTGTGATATGCCCAAAAGCACACAATTTACATGTCCATAGCCGCCTCGATGGGTATCTCTACGACACAGATGGTGTCCACTCTGTCCAGACTGTCATCTTAGATTGCCCAGGTTAGTAAAGCGTAATCGTTTGTCTTCATTTCAAGTCAATTGAAAATCTCCAACGCTGACGCAACAAACAATTCCCCAGGCTGTGGCGCAACCTATCGACCCAGTTACTACACCAACGCTGGTTTTCGACATTATTACACATTGGACATGGGGCGCGACGTTGAAATCCTTCACGTCCACTGTCACTACTACATCACAAACCGGCTGTGTCACCAGTTCCGTGTTATTCAAATGCTTGCGCAGTATGTATCTAGTTCATTTCAAACTGCATGTGTTTTTGTAATCATTTGCTGAACGTGTCTTTCTTAACCACTGCACATCCCTTACTAGCGTCTCCCACTTTAACTTGACCAACTGGTACAACGAGCTTCATGTCGAAGACTCGGATGTCCCCCAGTTTGGATCTGCACAGGGGTTTTCCCCGTCCATGTCAGAGGCAGTGTGCCTAGACGCCCTGGAAATACGTGCTCTGCTCACCCATGAAGACCGCCGAAACACACAACTTTCTGTGCCTGCGAGTGGAACTGATGACGCACGGTTCGACCCGGCGATTGCCGCCCACCTGGACCGACTCGATATTGAAGGTACTCGGTTCTGAGACCACTACTGCAGTAGCTGTGTCCGTGTGAAGTCAACAGTCAATCCTGAGACAGGTGAAGAAATTTGGATCGGTACGGACATTCATGATGTACTTTGTTTGCTGCCCACGTTTGATTGACACCATGTTGCCTCCATCCAGGGATACGAGCGGTGGTCACCGATGGACTGACCATCGGCCACTGGTGTTGCAGTGCGTCCCCGGAACAGCTCGCAGAGCTGGCTACGGCTTCAGGTCAACCGCTCCCCAAAGGACCTTGCACTCATCGCCTGGAAAATATCAACGATTGCTTTTGTCCGTATCACTTAGAACTTTTGGGCAATCGTTGCCATGTGCAGCCTTGCAGACGAGATGCTCTGACCGACTCGAAGACTTGTGGTGACGCTGCTCACATTGAAGCGTGGGCCAAATTCACCAAACGAGTCAAGTCGAATTTTTCCCTCACCGCCATTCTAAATCGTCCCGGCTCCAATTTACCCTCGGATCCCACCGTGCATCTCAATGCTGACACCGCAGAGTTCAATGATCTTGATGGCCTACGGGAAGCTGACGAGACCAATCGATCACATGAGGGGGCTCGCGATGGTGGCGAATCTCAAGCCCAAAGTAAAATGGTCATGTCAAGATGTCGGACCCACAACGATCAACTCTGTGTTGGATGTTGTGGTATCGTTTTGGCGCGCAAAACATTCTACCACTCTGAATCCGTCAGTGCAGTCAAGGTGAGTGCACTGAAATAGGTGAGCTATGTTCAAAGCTCCTTCTGACTTTGGATTGTGTTTGTTCGATGTAGCATTTTCTAGAGGAGACCTTTCCTCAAGGGATTCCCAAAGTGGTGTTTTACGACAACGCCTGCCGACTCACCGAACACATATATCACGGATCAGGCAAGACAGAACGCTTCCAAGGGACAGTGATCCCAGTGGACCCATTCCATCATCGTTCCCACGCCGAAACTGACGAGTTTTGCAAAAAGTTCACAGACCCAAAACTATTTCCAGATATACAGGAAAATGGACAATGGGTATTCAACGCATCTGCGGCGGAACTCACCAATATATGGTACAGAGGTTTTGCGTCGATCTGTTGTAACATGCATTCCCTCCGTTATAATTTCTTTTTGGAAGAGATGGTTGACTTGAGGAATTTGTGGCTCTCCAAAAAATTGAGCAAGCGACCGGGTATGGAGTTCCTTGGTATTGGAATCATTTGAATCATTGATTCAAATCATTTATTATCATTCATAACAATGTCTTCTATACTGTCTGTCCTTATTTTCCGACTCCTCAATTATGTAATCGATTCGAAATGATGGGACAGAAAATGAAATTTATACACACAAGTAATAATTCTCATCTCCTCTAAATCTAAATTTTGGCACTTAGGTGGCATGAATGATCCCGAGACACGTACAGTTCATGGCTCATGAGTTTGGAGAAGAACAATGTGGATATAATTGTATCAATGTTAAACATATGGGAATGTGAGGAGGACTTCACATGACCATGCTGGATACAATTCATATTGCAACTTCACCCATTCTTTCAATCAAGTTTACCATCTCGGATATGGGAAACTATTTGTGGAATACTACCACGTTATGACGGAGCACCTGGAAAGCCACCACAGTTAAGTCAGTGGATAAGATAAAACTATTGAGACGAGATGGACACACACTTGAACAATGAGCCTTTGTGTCGTGATGTCTTTGGAATCAACAGTACCAAGGAAATACATGAAGGAACCCAATGCGATGTTCTTCATTTCGCATAACTCTGGAGAAAAATTGCCAAACCGATAGATGATCTCGAATGTGTTTTTCTTTCTTTCCTGAGTGTCATAATCAATAAGGAATAATAAAGACATCGTTAGTCAACCATATCATTGTATTTTTGTTAGAAAGAGCTAGATCATGCCTCACTTCAGGGTTGAAGATGTCATGTTCAGCTTGAACTGTAAGGTGCCAGTCACTGTCTTCATTGAGATTGTCAATATTCACCTTAACGACCTTGCCGATCCCACTGATCATGGCTTTTCCAGCAAGATGTTGAGGTTGAGGAGGCACAGTGGCCACCAGACTTTGGGTGATGCTGCTATGTTTGACAAAATATTCGCCTGTAATGGCGTTTTGACCCAAACCGCCATGGATGTTGTAGGTCCAATGACGGGTGAGTACCTCACTCGCCAAGCTAAATCCATAGGCTTTAAGCGGGCTGGTAACGTGCTGCCCTTGCTCATCTTTTAAGATGAGGTTGGTGTCGGTCTTGTGCCAAGCTACGGCATCTGGTATCGTTTGGGGGCGCAAGATCGTCGTCTGTGTAGATGAAGAACATGAAGGTAGAATGAGGCTTTCAACATTTAGGGAGGCAGAGTGAAAGGGCTGGTACTTTGCTGGTGGTAGTTAGGACGGCGTTGATTGAAGCGGTGATGTCAGGTTCAGAGGCCATGATGATGGATGGGCAAACAACCAAATACCAATTGGTTGTTGGTTTATATATTCCACACAATGCAATAACATGTTTGCTGTTGTCTGCGATTTGGTTCCCTAAACAAAACGAAGGGAGGTAGGTGATGGGTTCTCAGGGTCCAAGCCTAAGATTCTTATAGTCACAAAGCCCAGGGTCCGATGTTCACCACAGAAGATAATATCACGGTTTGTATTGCGTACGCAGGATGGATTAATCGAGGGTGAGCCTCTAACAAAAATCAATAATCACAACGAGAGAGAGAAATAAAATGAAGTCTAAATAAAACGCATGACAAATGCGACCGTTGCCACATTCGCAATCGCCCCTGAATTCGTCCCTGGATATAATCAGATTTTCAGATGTGGGCGACCCTTTTGAACTCCTCCTTGAAGCGAATCCGTGCTTCACCCACATTAGCACGCGGAAACTTGATCTATTCATTCAAAAAGATCTCGTAATCTACTTCATCAATCCATTGTATATACCTGTACATAGTGGAAGTCCCCAGGCGCCATTCAGAACCAAAGGCTTTCATCCATGCCTGCTGCGGAGAGCAAGTTTCACAATTCTTGTACCACGCGAGAAGGTCTGAAACCAGTACAAAAGAAGACGGCCACCCTCTCTTCTTGATATGGGTATTGGTACTTGACTCGACTTCGTTTGTATTTGTCTGAACTTGGGTTGAATTGTTGCCGTTGGTTGTAGCTGTCAAGACGGGTGATGGAGTTGGCAATTTCCCTGGCTGTTAAAAGGTAGTTAAACCAAAAACGTCAGTACAGTGGTTAAGTTTTACCTTGTTGTGAAATCACCTACTGGACTAAATTTGGGATTGGAACTGACTTTCGGATCAGAACTGGTATTAATTGCTTGGGCCTTGGCTGCAGAGGTTTTGATGAAGAGGTCCAAATCGGGTAGCTCATCATCAGAATCCTCGCGACGTTGGGGTTGGGCGTTGGGAGTCGGGGGGTTCTGCACCAAAAATTCATCATTCTCATCATCAGTGGCATCGGTCAAGCCTTTCTGCTTTGCGTTGAGTTCGTCTAGCTGCTTGGTTTGTTGACTGTGAAGGGCGTGGGTGGTGTTTTTGGGCCCGTTAACCACAATCACATCAGGGTCAGAATCGAAAGGACTGGCGTCGACTGAAACACTGGAACTGGCCACGGGTGGGTCTGCACGAGGATCTTGGAGTTTTGGTTGAAGCGCCTTGGACTTCGACAAGGGCAAGCCAGGGGTCCGGGGATCTACTTGTGGCGACCTAACCACAATCTCCTGCTTGTTTACTGAGTATCTGTGAGGGAGCGTGACCATCGTTTCATGCTGTCATAGATATATGATAAGCTTCACTTATCCTTGAAACATCAGATTGATATCTTACCCAAGTGTCGATCTTGTCATCCCAAAAAAGAAGAGCCCGGTTCCATGTAGGTCCAAAATGCTTGGTACAGGCTTGCATCAGCAGCAGAGATTCGTCCAGCCTGGCTTTAGGCCATTGGTCCATATGAGCTGATATAACTTTTGGTTCAACTGCCTAGATTCCTTGTGTGTTGTGGTCAGTGAGCGCGTGAGGATGATGATTTCTGATGCAAAGAAAAATCTACACACATCAAGCCACAGGTAAATAGTTACCACTTTACGTTCGTCAAATTTGTTGGCTATGGCCCGTTCCTGAGCTTTGTATCGCTCACGGCGGTTGATTTGGATGGCTGATATCGCTTGGAAATCTAGGCGGTGTCCAAGCGTGTTAGCTGCTTGCGCCCACTGATGGACACGAGGAGCTGGCCTTCGTGCAGGCGCAGCTTGTGGAGCTGAAGACCCCGGAGTAGGGAGATGAGCTGCAGTTGCGTTGGAGGGCAAAACAGGGTTGACAATCGCGCCGGCATTTGGCTGGGCCTCTGTTCGACGGGTGTGCTTGGAACACCCCCCTAAACCGTACTGAAGACAACACTGCAGAAGCAACCACAGGTCAGTTGTTGTATTACATCATATTTCCCAAAACTTACCGCCTGGCAGTACTGATGAGGACAGCCTTTGTTTCCATTGCTCCGGTGGCCACGTGCAACTGGACCGCGTGAAGCGCGCTGGCATGGGTAAACTACTTTGGCACGTTGAGGACCAACTTGTGAGTCTACTTGGTTTGATTCGATCGGGGTGAATTGCTGTTCAATTCGACCTAAGAAGGGATGAGGAGCACCAGCCGGTGCTCCTCGAGGTGGTGCTAATGCTCCGTCGTCAGCATTAGCGGGTTTGGGAGGAAGCAGCACCCCGGAAGGTGATATACGGGGTCCCCAGTCATCAGCAGTCGAAATGATCGGTCTAGAAGCGCCAGCGTTGATCAAGGCGCGCTCGTGGTTGAGTTGGTCACAACGCCAAGTACGCCAGTTATGTCGATTCTTGGGACGTCGTGGGCACTAAGATAAAACATAATGTCATTTGTTAATCAGGATGGTTGTGTCCTTTTGAAAGGACATAAAATAACTGACATAGATCCGCCAAGCATCTTCGAGTGCAGCTTGGTAACGGAGGGGTGTTTGGCATTTGGGGCACAGAATGCCAACGAGTTTCTTCAGCCCAGGCTCCGGTAGGTATCCTTCGGTGATGAATTGGTAGTGTTCGTGCACGAGCGTGGCTACGACCATGATTGAGGTGGATCGTGATCGATTGTTTGCTTGGAATTGACAGTTTGGAAAGGGATTCCAGTAAGTGACGGAATTTTGGGTACGTTGAGATCATGTTGTGTTGTGGGTGATGATGAAAATTTTTTAGTGTCACAGCTTCCCTTTTGGGTGTGATGAAACTCGGTAATGGCAAAGACGATATACGGTTGAAATCAATGAGTTCGATAATATAATAAGAGGATGAGGGGATCAGTTGGCCCAAAAGTGGACGCTGAGTTGTGGGTGTGATAGGCGGGTGACATGGGCGGACAGAGAACTAATTCAAGTTTTGGACTTTTGTAACGCAGACTGTAGCATGCTTATATGTATGCTTATGATGGGAATACATTATTCCCAGATTCCCACAATTTTCCCAGTCCCAGGGAGCATCGGACTTTCGTATATGTTCTGATAATTATCACATGATAATTATCAGGTGATATTACATGACAATACTGTGCCTGCATACAAACATATCAGTATTGGCTATATCCTTCTAGTGTAGTGACCCGAGCTCAAGGGTGCTGCGTACGGGGCTGGCTAGCCCGGTGCTAACCTCACCTATCCACCTCCTACAACCCATACTTTCCTTTCATCCACGAGGCTGTCTCAACACTTTTTTTGATGGATGAGTGACTTCAGTTAACCCGATTTCGCCGCCGCGAAGATTTTTGATCCGATGACGAGGTATAGAAAGTCACATCTGACGACCTCACATACGGATATGCTCTTTTGGTAAGCTCATATTCATGAACTCGACCTCCTCAAGGCGATAAGCCACAGTGACTAAAGCTTTCTTTTGTAGCGATTGATTGCTATCAAGTTCAAGCTGGCCCGAAGGAAAGCCCCAGCAGCCCACCCGGACCAACATCGATGTGGGCGTGGGTCGATGATCGCTTACGTTGAACCGCAAAGCGAGTACCACCATCACAAGCCAAGTATGCAGTTTGCAAGTTGACATCCGACCCATCCGCTGAGCTATTGCTGATGGAAACTTTGTTTAGGTACAAGAGCTGGTGATGGAAACTGATCGCAAGTATTTTGATGGTACTCGCACACTTTCAGCCAACATGACAGCACACAACAATATATTTCTTCCTGACAAAAACACCGACTTGACAGATATTGACTGAATGGGGATCAACTCATTGTTTTAATTTCTGTTGTTCTATTTTGTTTGAGTTTTCTTTTATGGTTTCCTCCAACACTGTGTCCTCCAATTACTTCTTTACATTACAAAAATTGTTGTTTTTCTTATTTGTATGGTACATCCGGAGTGTATCCAGCGTCTCATGTTACTATATATTGCCTCAGTTTGCAATGTATTGTGGCCCAAATGAACCCAAATGATGCCAACAGAGGAGATCAAAAGAACAGATATGAAAATCGAGTTTCCGATACAATAAAATTGCAATCAAAACCGATTCAAAATTCAAATCAATCAAGATCTGGCCAGTTAGATTCATGTTCCAAAAACATGTGACCTATGTTCGGACAATGTGCGTATTACATTTCATGAATGTAACCAAGAAGAACTTGTCAGCAATATGTTGCAAGTATGTCTGACTTTCATACTTGATACGTTCAGCATTCATGCTGATTACATAACGATTATGTACAACAAGTGTTGGGCAAAGGCAAACAAAACATGTTCGCAACGTAACCACATATGTTTATGTCACGTTTTTACTGGGGATGTTTTCAGATCATCAGGAAAACATTGTTGAAACAGATGTTGAAAGCATGTAACAATTACGAATCTTTTGATCCGTAGTCTAGGATTGTATGGTGCAACTGAGGGGTGGGATGCTGCTGAGACTATGTGATGGGTGCAGGATGGTGGAGATGGCGTACACGCGACGTGACCGCGCTAGGGAGGAGCGCAGAGGATGCCGGCTTAGACCCATAAATGTGGGTATGTAAGTTGGAGGTCACGTTAGCCGCAGGCGATCACGTGCCGGTGGTGACACTTGACTTGTGGTTCCAAATGCAATCGCATATAAGCATCGCAGTAGTACTGTAATCACACATGTAATCGGAATTATCAGAGTGATTCTCATAATTATCAGCGCCCATACGAAAGTCTGATCTACCCCAGTCCCAGATTCCCAGGACGGAAACCCGGATCCTCTGGTGCTCCCTAGGAAACTTACATTTTCCTCAGCTAAAGTGTTTAATGTCACCAATTAAATCCACCTCACCCCGTGTGCGAAGGAACCCTCGTCGTGCGACTAGACCCACTCAACAGCAACCGCAGCAGAGCTTAGCGGAACGACCTGATACCTGCATTACGAGCAAAAGTAATCTACCCCTCAACAACTCAGGTACAGCCTCTGAACAAACCAAAGTTCTACCTTCGAAAGTTTCCAACCCGAAAGGCTCTAACTGGAAATCTATCAAAGCCACCTTGAACGTTGTGAAGAAGAAGCGAAAAAACAAAAATCCTCCTCAAGAGCCTATTTCGACTCAACCCGCTGCCAACCCACCCGCCAAGAAGCGAAAACCTAGGACCAAACCGAAAAAAGCGTCTGAGAAAGGTCAAGTACCCGGCAAGGGCGAAGTACAGACTGTAGCTTCATCGCTTCCCGACAAAGCTCAGAACAAGATGAATGGCTCTCAACAATTCACAGGAAACGTAAGGATCATCTTCAATTACCTTGCAACACATCTGACCCTTTACCGCGCCAGTTTTGCTGTACCTCGAGCGAAGCGCAGTCCAGAAGATCAAATTGAGCTAACGCACCTTTCTCCCGCCTTGATAGGTTGATTTTATAAGCTTTGACCAATCTGATCACGAGCACGATGTGGATGATGCCAACCAAGCCAATGACAGCCAAATACCGAACAAGGGAAACAAGTTTCAAGGAAAAAAACGATCGTATGGGGCCTCACGTTTAGGTGTGACTGATGCTGAGGCTAATGAGGTTAGAAAGAAAAAAGGAATGGCGATCACCCCATGGTTTGATACCTTACAATGGAAGAATCGCAACGTACAACAGATGTCGGTCGTTAACCATCTTCTTTGTACCGTATGCTACCAATTGGATTATTGATTCTTGATAATGGTATGACCATTCTGATGTAACTTTTCAAACAGGCTCACAGCAGAGATCGGTTCATTTGTCGCGTATATCAGACCTACTCGTGAAGAAGACGAATTAAGGTTGATGATTATTGAGATGATCCGAAAGGCTGTGACGATGCAATGGCCTGATGCGGATGTAGTACCGTTCGGTTCGTTTGGAACCAAGTTGTACCTCCCCGGAGGGTAAGTGACTCGTCTTTTTCGGCATTGGGTTGGCTGGATCACGCTTGGCAAGTGTAGCTGATCGACTCTCGCGTTGGCGGTGTATCATCTTCTTTATTTCAGCGATATCGATTTAGTGATATTATCAACCCGGATGATGAAGGATGCTAAAAGCAAAATTCTCTACAGATTAGCACCTTTACTTCGAGAACAAAATATCGGTCAAGACGTTGTTGTGATCGCCAAAGCCAAAGTTCCAATCATCAAATTCAAAACGATTTTCGGAAACTTTCAAGTTGATATTAGTATCAATCAATCAAATGGACTGGTAGCTTTGGAAAAAGTGAACGAGTTACTCGATGATGTGAAATATTTGAGTAAAGACCTACGAGCTGAACAGCGACATCATCAACATTCTCGAAATCAAAGTAAAAGACGCAACGAAGAAACGAACCTGGAGATGGACGAAGAGGAAGAAGCCATTAGTAAGGTAGTTGAAGAGTTGGGCGCTGCAAAGTGTATGATTCTAGTCATCAAGTCCGTCTTGAAGCAAAGAGGGATGAACGAGGTTTACAGTGGGGGGCTAGGTTCATATAGTATCATCTGTCTAGTCATTTCATTTCTTCAAGTGAGTCTTTAGTCTGGATAATCTATAGTAGCTGTTTCTGTGATTCTGATGATCAAATATCGATAACCTACAACTTAGCTCCACCCTAAAATCCAGCGTGGCGACATCGACCCAAACAAAAATCTGGGCGTCCTACTTCTCGAGTTTTTCGAGCTTTATGGAAAACACTACAACTTTGAGTGAGTCTCTAGCATGTATGCTTCACTTGAATGATTGTCTGATATGAATGTTTTGAATTTCATAGTGAGACGGGTATCAGTGTTAGACAAGGTGGATCATACTTTAGTAAGATCAAACGCGGCTGGCAACGAGAACGTCAGCCATTCTTACTGAGTATTGAGGATCCCGCTGATTCAAGTATGTATGGGTTCCTAATCTACAACCCGTTTCCGCTCTCTTCTTACAAGATAGTGCAAATTATGACTCGTGTATCATAACTCATTGCATTGTTCTTTCTCCCTGTGCTTACTTCAGCAAATGACATATCTGGCGGTTCTCATAACATTCTCGGCGTCCGAAGTGTTTTTTCCGGAGCTTTTGACCTACTCTGCGCAACCTTATACCACCGACATTCCTTACAAATGTCAAGAGCCGATGCTGTCTCATCTCGACGGCTTCAAACCTCTCGACCTCTCCTGGCAGTACCCAAGCCCAATCAAGCAAACGAAGAAGAAGCAGACGACATACAAGACCCTATGGAACAAAGCTTATTAGGAGAAATAATGGGAGTAACAAAAGAACTTGTTCAGAATCGCAAGAAGAATTATAAACTATATTACAGTGGAACGATTCAAAGACTTCTAGGTAGATCTCCTCCACCTTCACCCAATGAACTCTCTCCTACAAACAATCCAGGTATCTCAAAAACCGAAAAACGTAAAATGAGAAAAGAGAGAAAGAAAGGAAAACAGAAAGAAAAAGCTGATGTCACTGAGGAATTAAATCAACCTAAGGCTGTAAGAGAAGACAGCGAGATGGAGGAAGGTCAGCTGTCGGATACCCAAAGCCAACACCACACTACTCACTATGCAAAGGATCGTTCGGCGAAGAAGAAGCAGTCTGTCGACGTGGATTACATCGAGCTAGAAGATTCCAACGAACGCGAGGATGGTAAACAATCAAAGCGACGAAAGATTGAGGAATCCGACTCGCAATGGGTTGTTGATACTCAGCCTACAGTTATTTACATAGATGACTCAGATAGGTCCGCGTCTCGGAGACCTCCAGGTACTACGGATCTGGAACTCAACTTATCACCCTCACTAGTCACCAACTTAGTCTTGCCTAAATCACATAAAAATAATAAAGCAGATCATGATGAAGATCAGGACTCTCGATACAACATCACCAAGCCTTCGAAAACTAGACGGACTAAGTACGACGATGACGATGAATCTGAAGGGAGTCAAATTCGAGAGACAAATCTTATCGCTTCTTGTTCGTACCCTATGACGGAGAAGCAAGCTCAAAAAAGTACAGAGCCTTATTATGCGGATGATGCATCCGATGATAGTTTAACAGAGGATGAAATGCTAGTAGGATATCTTCGAGGTGCGACTCATTCAAATCGATCTTCACATCCTAATGGACAATATCCGGAAGACGTCGGTTGCAGCCAGCTTTCACCGCCAGCCATTCCTGCAACACCTTCTGGAACCCCACCGTCTGAGAAAGATCACACAAGTGCTACTCGACCCGTTAACAATATTCAAATCGCTGATCATCGATCGATAGAGTTAGATTTCACCCCTGGTACACCTACAGGTACGCCACCCTCGGCAAGTCGACTTTCTTACGAAGCAAGGCAAAAAGTTTGGCTTTCAAAAGCAGTACCACAGCCAGAAGATTGATTGAAGGATATAGGATTTTGTAGCTATATCTTTTATGAAAGCTCTTTCTCTGTAAAAACCAAATCATCAAGCAGCAAAAAAAGAAATGATTGTTGTGTTACAAACTTCAAATTAAAATACCTATCTGTATGAGAAATGAATTTTTTTCACCCCAAAGTGTGCCTTTTTTACAAGTCCGAATCCACTGCCTAAACATCTATCCAGCGTAACAATATTATGACGTTCAAGTCTTGGTATCTTTTGGAGAATGCTGAGATTCAAATTGTGACATGTATTCAATTTGTTTCATGGGTAGGCGTGCGTATCTTGTCATATCCTGATCGTCTGCTATGACGAAAGCTATTCAGGAGTTGCAATCCAATTACTAAAGTAGTATCAGTTTGATAAGTTCAAAGTGGGTTTTTTTATTTGAATCTGCCTGTACCCTGAGTCATCACGATCAAGGTAATCGCCGTCTGAATTGGAAACCGGCTGTTTCTGGCACCGTTCAGCGCATAGGGATCTCGAATGAGATCGGGTGTACCCACATCCATTGGAAGTACTGATCACCGCATAGATATCAAGTGATATCGCAGGCCTCAAGAGATCTTATAGTATCTTATTGCTCAAACAGTTGACTATTGCACAAAACGCTAGCACGCGCACAGAGAAAACACAACACAAGCTGAGCCGATTGTTGTGAGTCACATAGCTGACTGGCTTCTTGGTCGAGCATGCAAACTCAAAAGAGCACTTCTCTAGAAGGCTGGTTGGGCAGAGGGTCAGAGAAATTATGATATATATGATTAGCAAATTGGGGTTCAAGTTAGAGACCTATTACAACAAGGTGTGATGATTTTAAGTCAGTTTTGATAGTGATTATCGAGGATCACTGCAGGGAATAATTTTATTTCATGATGGTTCAAAATCAATTCATTGAAAAGTTTGAGACCAAGTACACCATTGGCTCGATCCAGATGGTGAAGTGTCAACTTTGATGTCGATTCGATCTGCATTGGGACCAAAGAAACCTTGAGTTGCCCAGCTTTCCATGGTGAGCCGATCAAATGGTCCGTAGATTTGAGGGGGCATAGCGAGGCTGGATGGATTGTTAGGATCAGGTTTGAACTTGTAAAAGAGGGAAGGAGAAGGGTTGTTTGGTTGAAGAGCAGTCGTAGGTCGCGCGATCAATGGTTTTCGGTCCGAGTTCGAATTGTGGTTCGATGAGATCGATCTTTCATTGTTCAGTGGAGCAGTGGAATCACATGGAGGGATCCAATCTCGAGGTACGAGCCCTTCGCTCTTCAGAAGACCGGTGATTGTTCCATGAGACATGTCATAAACGTCGAGTTCACCGTGAGTGCCCATGAGAGTAGATGCAAGGTCGGTGATCTCAGCAATTTTTTGATCGATCGCAATTTGTTCTTCGGATTTATCAGATTGAGTACTTCGTTCTTTGCCTTTCCCTTTATCGATATCCATTTCATCGGTGATTGAAGCGGGCACAAGCTCATCAATCACAGTGCGTTTGGTGACTTTCTTCTTTCGCGTCTGCTGGTGGGCGCGCTTCTCAGATCCTAGTTGATAAAGTGTTTGAGACACTGTTCGACCATTCTGAGCCGAAAGAAACGACAGGAGCGATACATAACAGTCTTTTCTCGTGCGCTGCAGAGCTTGCTGATCCCGTAAGGCCGATAATTTTTGAATTTCTTCTGTGGAAGCGGTCGAAGATGAATTAGCACTTGGAAGAACCCATGTTTTAATGGTAAAAGTGATGGGGAATATGATTTCTGACGTACCCTCTTGTTTCCTTTTTGCTTCTCGTGCCATTTTCATAGTCTTTTTGCTATCAACACCTTCCAACCAATTGTCATGGGCGGCTTCTGGATCCTTTACCGAAGCCACGTAGCTTCCGTCTGCAGCCATTCTGCCTTCAGTAAGCTCCTCCGCCATATTAAACTTGCTTAGCATAAAGCCCATTCCTTTTTTTGATTTTCTTCGAGCTCTTGGCGCGTCATCTGCATTAGCAAACTCATCACCCGGTACGAAATCTTCTTCTTCATCCGAATAACCATCAGAAAATTCATCTTCATCATCCCCATTATTCTCCTCTTTTGCTTTTGATTTTTTTGCCTTGTTCTCTCCAGTTTCGTCATCATCACCATCCTCCTCCCTCCCGAACTCCTGTCCTTCAATGTCACCGAGATCAAGATACTCTTTTGCCTCAGCCCCATGCTTCAATCTCATTCCTACATCCACTTTTTCAAATCTCTTATTCGATTTCTTTGACGCTGATTCGGAAGCTCCTTCATCGTCGTCGAACATATCTTCATCTTCGGTTTTGGACTTCTTTTCTCGAACTTCAGCATTTTCTGTAGATGAATCTGAATCGTAACCTTCATTTTTGACTCTCCTTTTACCCACTTTTCCAACTGGATTTAATTCATCATATTGAAGATCGTCATCTCCTCCATCATCGCTGAAAGTTCGACTAGGTCCAGCATCAGCTACAAATTTGACTTTTTTGTTTTTCGACTGAGTAGTTTTCTGAACTGGAGGTGAATCGAAAGTAGAAGCTTCAAGGTTTCTTTTGTTTGACATCTTTTTGATATTGTTGAGTTGGATGAGTGGTTGGAATTGGAATGTGGCTGAGTAAAAGGGATGATGATGCAACGGATACGTAATGAGTGTCCGGTCCGGTACTGGTCCGCAGCCTTCATGCTCCGAATTCACACTCCTGAGCCGCATCCGGTCTCGGCAGGTGATCGTACCACTGTGGTACCGCCTAAGTTTAAACATTATTGTTCAACGCGTTTTCATCTTCCTCATATATTTTAATTTTAGGTTCTCTGGTCTGATTTACCCTTTCCGGCTATATTTTGCTTAGAATTTGATCCTCTTTGATCCCCGTTATCAGGCTGTTGTACTTCTCATACCTTGCAGATCTGTTTGCGTTCTCGAGAAAAAATTTATCTACACAAAGGCGAACGTTGCTTCACTGTAATTACATCTAATTCATTCCTCAGCTATGATGGAGGGGGTTGAGAGATTAGAGCCATCAACTCGGCCACATGAACTTTTGAAAAGTTTATCTGCTAGTTTGAATCATCATCATATGCTTATTGCTTAACTTAAGCTTCCTAATACAATTGTTAGTCTTGGAAATCATAAGCTTTGTAATGAGAATAATAAAGGAAAAGATGATGGGGACAATGGGTATAGTGCAAATAGTGATGTGAATTCTGGACTTCATCCTGATTTAGTTGATGGCGGTGGGACGTAGTTAGGTATGAAACTTTCAGAAAACTTCACCAAAGGAATACTTGATTTTTGAAGTTACAAAAGAAGACTTGGAGATTATTGTTTCTTGTATGAATGCCCTTTGTAAGAAACAATAAAACCTAATTTATATACATAGTTATATCCTTTTTACATTTAATCAAAAATAGGGGGAAAGATGAACTGATGAGCTTGTGAGGCTTCAGATACGCTGTGTCGTCTCCCATACACACCCACAAAGCATTTTAGACATGATCATTGCAGTTTCTGAGTTGGTTAAAAGTAGGCAGAGGCAAAGTATTGTACTAATAGCCCAGTGAGATCCCTGCACAGATATCTTGATTCTTACCACATAAAGTGACTTTTGGGGGTTTGCGGCAGCTTTGCCTGGGCCTACAGCTAATGGCAAGGTGAGAGGATCAAACAAACCAAGGTTGCTTAGAAGCCATACATCACGGTCAAGATTATCAGTGGAAGCTGCCCAAACGGTTCGAAATTAGATCTCATCATCCACGATCGTGTCAGTGAGTATACAGTGCAACAGAATTGCATCCAGTGCGTGATACAGATACAAAAACAGCCCGATGACGCATATAGCCATTACAATTATCAGTGAATCGATCGAGGTCACATGTAGGAACATATAGGGATAAAAAGCAATGCAGATGAACTGATATATTTACAAAATAGTACCTCACTGACTTCTTCGACATTATGTCCTAAAAATAATTGATTACGTTTGCTGATTTGCGAGAAATAGTAAGTAGAAACATGAAATCCTGTTTTCATGGGTAAGACCACTAGTCTTGAGAAGATGAACAAGTTGATAGTTATAGGATTCTATCAAAGTCCATAAGATTAATGCTTGATAAGATGATTTTGGCGGAATTTTGTGCAGTATGTGATGGTTGTGTGCGTATCTGAAGAGATCTTGGTGTTGCCGATAAGATAACTCATCGAGGCTTTCATGTGTGAGCAACGATCTCAATATACCAGTGATGCAAGATAGTTGGAAAGTCTAGAGAAGGAACAAAAACAGGAATCAGTCGTCGGAACAGATAAGATTGATTGAGACGAACTCTGACTCGTACCCTTATTAGATTCCTATCAAAGAAAGTCCCAAAATGGCGCTCATTAGGCATTGTGTTATCTTCCAGGCCGGAAGACTCGATACTCTCCTGTGCGCAGTGCTCTTTGAATCGGCGGAATCGATGGGGCTTGTCAATAGCGTCGAGTTCTGAGATTGGTTTCCGTCAAGGTAGATAGGCTGTGTGAGCTGCGTACTAGCGAGCTGTGACTGGTCTGGCATTGCTTTCGGAGTTGAGGATGAATTTGCTGTCGGATGAACTGCACGAGCTAGAGCGCTCAAAAGAGTGTTTTTGGAGACAGGATCACCGAGTTTAGTCATGAGGTCTTGTAAGCCGGATAATTCCGCCGCTGTTGGAGTCACTGTGGTCGGAGTGGTTTGAGTTGATGATAGGCCGGCTGTCACCGTGTTTTCCGACAGTGCGACACGTGGATTCGTACCAAGTTGCTGCGGATACGCATAAGCCTTAAATGATACCAATGATAGGATTATATACAATGCAAGCTGAGCGTTCTGGTGCATGAAAACAGGCCACATCGTGAGAGAAGACCAAGCAGTAGCAGAGAGATGGAGCTCGACTTGCTCAATGGCGAGAAGGACCGCGGGAGTAGCGCCTTCGAAGGCAGTCGGAGAGAAACGTTCCGCGGTTGCCTTTTTGAAGGGGGCGAGATCAATGTCACAGTCAATTTTTTTTGGTCTGCAGCAATCGCGATTTTAATTCGATGCCTTCACTGAGTCTTGATGCTTTGCTGGGTTACTTGTTTGGTATGTTGATGATTAGGTGAGGCCAAAAGTTTACTTAAAACACATATTTACCGTTATGAAAATGACTGTTAATTGAGATGGGTAGAAAAAGTATTGAAGATTATTGATCTCTTGAAGTTGTGCTAACTATACGTGAAGAAAAACGAGAATCCGATGGGGGTTGACCAGCGCAGAACACGTCAGAACTTGTTTGCAAAACGACTTCAACACGCCTTCTCAATCCTACCCCTGTCGGTTGGGCTCGCCTCCGACGCCGTTGAGTTTGGGTCACGGAGTTTGTTTTGGCGTCGCAGGTGAATTACGAATTCGCTTTGGCTGGCAACCGTTGGTCAGCACCTAGGCCTAGGTAGTAGGATGTAGTGCGCTATGTGTATAGTGCGGTCTAGAGCGCTCTTAGGCTACTGGTCAGTCGTGTTGGCTCTTAATGGCTCCCACTATTCCACTACGCTTGCTCTGGTGCGGATGTGTGCGAGTTTTAGACTCAGCCTGGCGTGCGATAAATGCACGTTGGCTGACGGATAACCTCTTGCGAAAAAAGCTACCTGATTGTTCAAATCCGCTCTTGCCCGCTTTTGCTGGAATCCAAATTGTTCGTAAGGTGGGGCGGGGCAAAGAAGCGACGGTTGCCTCAAGCAGGTCGAGTAGAGGACGAATATTTCAGAAGACGTGTTTTACGATAAGGATCAGGAGGGAAGTCCAGAGCAAGAAGATCTCTGACTTCTCGTACAGACAGGCTTTCTACACTTCCGCTATCTCGAGCCTCAACTTCTCAACGACGCAGTGGACGTCTTGGTTGCTTTTGAACGCCGTAGAGCAGGTAGAGCTTATATCTTACCAAGTCCCCCCGAGGCCTACCATTACTATTAGCGATACTTTGAACAACGCAACAAAAAAGCGAAGTTGTCCTCGAATTTGGGATTCTTTCAAACATGCCCTTACCCCTTGACAACTTCGGAAGTCCCTTGTTTGAGCCGGCCAGTACAGCTCAAAACAAGTGAGACTTTGTTAAGTTTGCAATGGCCCCATCATAGTATGTGTCCCAGATCTCATCACAACTTTGCAGGCTTATGGTCCCATTGACAATTTTTATGGAACAGAAACCACTCATTTGTCCTGTCCTGTCTCCGCTTCCGGAAGTCACAGTGTACACTCAACCTTATCAGCCTACTCTGGGCATGTACAACAGACTGTCTATTACCCAAACATGGTGAGTGTCCTCAAAGCTTTGCACAACGTTTCCGCGAACTCTGCACCGCTGAACGCGTGAAAAAGCAGCGTAAATTCTGAATCCCGACATCCCTTCCTTTTGTATTGCATCATCATATATATGATAACTCCTACCAAATATTGGCCCCCTTATCCTAGAGCTTCAACCAGGAAAATCTGGTGCTTTATTTACTCCAGGCTCATCCGGGTTCACTTCCTCAAGTACATCACCCAGTTCCTATTCATTTACTCCATGTTAAAGTGTACTGTCCCACTTGTTTTCATTACTCATTTTTCATATTCTTTTGACTATGCACAATAGCGTCTTGTAAAGTTTATCTCATCAGTTTTTTATCATCGCTGTGCCGGCAAATTCATTTTGTTCAAGTTTCCTGATGCGCTTGTGCGTGGCGCGCAATTGGCTCCAGCGGTATTTACCGTAATATGCGCGCGGTGCGTGGTGTACACTTCTAGAAAGTATGATGATTTATGTGATTTGATTTCTTTTTTTCATTCAGGTTTAATTGTTTCATGATCATATTTCTTGAATTATTACTATAGCGAAAAAACAGAAAATGTTATAGAAATGGATATCAATCAATCATAGTAAGATTAGAAAAAGATGTAGTAATTCCTTTTATTGATTGTTCTAGATTATAGCGTGTAATGTTCTAGCAATCACACTCAAAAAAAAGAGTGACATGGTGCCACTTTAATTGAGTTTGGTGTGAATTTTTCAAAGGTGTTTTGGAAATTGGACGCTCTCGCACCGCTCTCGTGACGCGACCCGACTTGAATGGGAATGAATTGGCAATTGTATTAGCCTGGGCAGGCTGCGTCGCAAGGTGCGAAAGTGTCACCTCGGGGTACCTTATTCAACCACTTGAAGCAGTGAATAGAATAGGGGCTCTCAAACCTGACCCGGTTTCAAAAAACCCAGTTGACCCAGTTGACTTTTTGGCTGGGAGCTGTCAATAAATTTCAAATTTATATACAAAGTTACTGCCAAAAAGTCAACTGGGTCAACTGGGTTTTTGAAAACCGGGTCAGATTTGAGAGCCCCTAATGTACCATACTGCTGCTTCCAGCTCAAGGTGTGCTCCGGCCGATATCCGGCGAGTTCAAGCCATTCCGACAACCGAACCGCCGGATTATCTGGCCACCGGATGATGTCAAAGGCCTTTCCGGTATCCGGATCCGTCGGATATCCGGCTAAAAAACCGGGTCCGGGTCCCTGATAACACGCAGAAGCTGCGGTATCCGGCGTGTTCAGGCCATTCCGACAACCGAACCGCCGGATTATCCGGCCACCGGATGGTTTCAAAACCCTTTCCGACATCCGGATCCGACGGATGCTCCGTCGGATATCCGTCGGATCTTCGGTTCCGGAGCACACCTTGACTTCCAGCATCAACCCCCTCATCTCGACCCATCTCGCGCATCTCCCCATCTCGGTACCCCAAATATACACTTACCGAGAAGTTTTTTGAAATTTCATACATACAACTTAGCCAGATAAGGCTTAAGAGCCCTATGGCACACCGGACTTTGTCCTCATCCACCTCCAACTCAATCGACTCACCACTACAACTCAACTCAAACCCGCATAACCAAACGTTTTTATAGGTATCAAAGGACACATTTGATTTTTTTCTACATATTTTTCTACATATCAAAGTATCTCATCAAGTAGCCTTCACAAACACAAAGATTCAGTGAATTGTTTGTTCAGAGATCGAGATCAATTGCCATTGTGAACGATTGAAAAAGATTGACAAGGATCCATTCCTACTCGTAGATCGTTTTGCATCTTGTCTTGAATTGATGTATGATTATTCAAGACCACCATGTTTTTGAAAGTAATCATCAAAAGAACCAACATCACTTAGTGAACAGTTTGCATTATCATCTCATATCCTCATCTTTAAACAACTCTACAAAATCCAATGTAATTTGGTAATCAAATCATACAGTTGAACAGATTTTTATTGTTTTGGAGTGGAAGTTGTCAAACATCTGTAATAAAACAAATATGATCATATGCCATATGTTCCACTCGAAGTGAACACTTGAACATACATGAAGTTCAACAGAAGACCCGGTGAAAGCAAAAACTCTCACTGTGGTGTCTTTTGTTTTTGACTCATTCGAGCAGACAAATCTAATATTAAAATCATAATTTTGCATTTGCGCGACCAGCGATAAAGAAATGTTTACATGATGATTGAATTTGGCTTTGCTGAAAACGGATCTAAACAATCAAAAAACTGATCAACATCGATATGCTCACCTCACTGAAAGAGACACTTGTAGCAACCTAATTGGATTTTTTCCACAATAAACTGTGAATAATTGCAGACGATATGTACATGATTGACTGGATTTAGAAACAGACGATTAAATGATCAAGCAACTAAATGAATTTGACAAAAATTGATATTGATACTGGTAGACCGAGTAGAAATCCTGATGAGCAACGGCTCTTGCAATTTGTATTTCAGAGGGGTGTTGTTAGAGCTAGGCAGGCGAGTATTCCAATCAATGAGATTTTATCAGCCAGAGAGTCATTACGCATCCTCGGCGGGTGTGTTATCACTTGCTGAGTGTGTTGCAATAGGAGGTGTGTTAATGTTGATAGGTGTGGTGTTGTTTGTGGGAGTGGAAGGGTCTTCCAGAGGTGTAGCGGGAGGATTATCAGACCCACACTGACGTCTGCGTTTGGCCTTTCGAGTCGGGACCGCTTCGGTTTCCAGGATTAGTATTTTGTTGTGCAAAATATCATCCAAGACATCACGCGCTTGTGTTGGTGTCAGTTGATTGCTATCTTGCATGATATAGCTGGTGCAAGACTTTGAATCCGAGGCGAATTGCACATAGTAGCCGTCCTCGGCTAGCTTTTCCTTACAACCTTTCCAAGTCCACTTCTTGATCTTGTCTTTTGTCTTTATGCCTAAGCAGAAGGTAAGTAGAAAAAGAGGAGCAAGTCAGTAAAATATTGAAGCATTATTTTAGCAAAACTGACTGACTGATCAGTTTGGACAGGGCTTCTCGACACCTTCCTCTGTCTGTGTAAGCATAGCAATATCAGTAGATGAATGATTAATTGTCAAAGTGAAAGTTAATATGTGACTTACCATCAAGTTTGGTTTTACTCAAATTGAGTAGCCCAGCCTGGGTCCCGGTGACAAATGCCTGTAATTGTGCGGCAATATGATTCTTTGGGTGACATATCCTGTCGTGCTCAACCCACTTCAGAGCGCGCGGTGTGGCTCGGACAACCTGGTACGAATCATCACCTAAGTAATTTGATACACCTATTATGGCGAAGTCGCCCTCATATGTCGCAGCCATATTGTTGGCCTGAATGTATGCGATAGTCAGTGAAAACTTCTTGCTATAAGTAAAAAAAACCGCTGACCTCGCCTTGCCACTTGAGCATGAAATTATTCACAGCTGCTCGAGCGCTTGCCAAAGACATGTTTTTGGCTCGGACGTTGCTGAGAAGTTCTGTTCTTGGTGTATTGGAATCAGTATGGGGTGTAGAATCGATCGGGTTGGGTGTAGTCACACTGTTCACGGGTTGATTCTGTACTTTGTACGAATCTTTCTCTGCCTGCGACTTCTCGCTCCATATACTCGAAGCCAATGTTGAACCTTTTCCATTTGCTACACCCGACGCTGGAAGATCATCACCGGTGAAGATTAGATGTCAATTTACTATAAAATATCATACAAACAAGTTACAGAACTTACTCTCTTTGAATATTCCGCTAACCTCCTCGCTTTTATACCACTGTTGATAGCTGTTTGGACCTCTCCGTACTGTCTTTTCGCCCCTGTGATGTCTTATGTCAGCGTATTGGTATTATAATATCCAACCAATCAAAAGATATTGACATACCATAGTTTACGAACTGCTTTGACTGAAACCTGATTATTTATGCAATTGATTGCCAATGCCTTGTCAAATTCATCGTGTAAAGCCAGGTAGTAATTTTTCAGGGCCGGTGGTACAGTATCCTTATTCTTAGCATGCTTTTCCGAAAGCATTCACAATTCGACAGAGGGCTTTTTCATCATATCCTCGGGTGTTGGGAGGTTTGATGGCCGTGGTTTTGAATTATCTCTTTCTCCTCTTAGCGAGTTAGGGAGAAAGTGATTGACAATGGCCCTTGTAGTTGTAGGTCCCTGCGTCCGCGTTGATGTGGGCGTGGTGAGGCTAGCAGACCTAGTAGGTTCGATTGTGGGTGGTATTCGAGGGACACCAGCAGGACCTTCCCGACGGGCATTTTTGCGCTTCTGAGTTGTTGTGGGCGGCTGGCTTTGAAGGTGAGTTCCAGTGGAAGCCTGTGGGGGTTGGCGGTTTCTATCGAGAGCGCTTGGATAGGTTGCTTCCTGGATGACGGGAGGACGTGACTGCAGCAGACGCACCGATGCAACATGTTGATTATTCTTGGGAGACCTTTCACCAAAGTTTCTGTCGTGTAGTTGACTCTGTCCAGAGCTATGAAAATAGTCTTGAGTTTGCTGAAGGTTAGAGCGATAATGGGTAGATTGAGTTTGCTGAGCATGAGCGGTCAAATTAGAGCTATCATAGTTAGAGCCAGGATACATAGAGTTGTAAATGTTGTGATGGTCTTGCTGAGCTGAGTTAGGATACGAGCTGTAAGTGTTGTGGTGATCTTGTCGAGCTAAGTCAGGATGAAAGATGTAAGTGTTTTGTTCATTCTGAGCTGGACTTTGCTGACCACCATGTTGTTGCGCCGAGAGTTGGTTATGAAGTTGATTATGATCTTCACGCTGCTGACCATGACCAATAAACCCAGAGTGATAGAAGTCAGTTTGATTTGGAGTTCCTTGCGCACCTTGCACACCATGTGCTTGTGAGACAATCTGAGGGTCAGTGGGGTTTTCCTGGTGATAGGAAGGATATTCGAGCATTGTTAACTTTTGCGTGCAAAGAGAATGTGGTGGATAATTTTCAAAGTTGATGAATAAGATTTGAGGAGGCTTTGACTATATGCAGTCAATTTGAAATTGGTAAAACCGCAAGTTTCTGACCATTTGACATTGGTGCAGAACCAAGTTTCTGACCATTTGAAATTGTAAAGCCAAGTTTTTAACTTAACACTCACATGACACAACTTGGCTATAGCTCAATACAAATTCAGGTGGTGCCAAAAATGGTGGTAAATATTCATCAAAAAGTTCCACATCCTCACAACAAGATCATATTGAATGATATGTTGAAATGGGATATTTATTTTGACCAAAATACACAAACTTTACAAAAAGCACTGTCGGACCTGAACCTCACTAACTAGTAGCCAAAACATTATCAAATTATGCACTGAATTTGCACCAAGACGGCAAAGAAAGACTTGACCTGTGATGTCAATGTTCTACAATGGAAGACTTGGACTGTAGATTTGCTATTTATCAAACTGATATTTGATCATGTACATTGTACATTGCATATAAAAAATCAAAGCAGAGTGACATAAATTCTTCACTCTGAACCGGATATACACTGAGCAGGAGAGACGTATGAGTTGGGAGAGAATGCCACAGATTTCAGAGGGGGATGCAGTGGCACCATCAGAAAGATTTAAAATTGGCAGAGATAACAAGCCAATATTTGAAATATTCAAAGTATAATTGCAAAGGGTTTTTAGGATTGTGTCCTTGTGTGCTACTACACTGGGCAGTAGAGATATGTTGGGTCACAGATTTCCCCACAAAGGTCAGAGGTGTGAGATGATGGTACCATCAGAAATATACACCATTGCTTGACATTATAATGAGCCAATAATCAAGGGATTTGAGCCAGGGATGAAAGATTTATGTGGAATTTTGTACTTGTGCAGTACTATTCTTGATGTGAGAAATATGTGGGGCCATAAGATTTGCCAGAGAGTCCAGAGGGGTGACATGGTGATATCATCAGAAAGTGCCAGTGTTAGCCAAAACAATGAGCCATATTCGTGAATTATGATGCATTGATGACCACATAGAGATTTTAGTGTATTGCCAAAGTGTCAAGATGTGCATATCTTGGACATTTGTGATCAGAAACTGTTGGTCCAAAAATGAAAAGTGTAGAAAATTTAATTACACCTAGAGTCTAATGAGACCATTTCTGGATAATACCTAGATTTAGTGGTCAATTAGAGGTATTGGTGATGTTTTGGGCAGTTGCAAAGGTCACAATTTGTGCATAACTCACTCAACTGTAGCTCAACCTGAATGGTTCAATAACAAACATATCTTTAAACATAATTATAGATAGAGTTTGATACAGCTGTTATTCCAAAATCTTATGTCTTGATGGCCACATATAGGTTTTTGTGATGTTGTGGGGGGATATAAATGTCACAAATTACCCATATCTCACTCAATTTTGCTCCAAAGTTGGAAGTTCAATAATGAAAGGTGTTTGAAATTAAATTTTATTTTCCATTTAATAATAACTTTTCTTGAAAAAAAGGCTTCTTGACACACCTTTGCCCAATTTAAATTTTAACACCCATTTTTCTTTGTCCATATCTCAGCCAATTTTTGTCTTTTGGTGTTTGAAATTGTTCCATTGAATTCCTGAGTGTTTTTAGGGGGGGTTTATTAATGAAATTTTAGGCCAAAGTCACTTTGAAATTTCTTCAAACTTTCAGGCCAAGAAAGCACATATTTGTGCTTTTAACACGAAATATAGCAACATAACACTCTTTAGCCAAATGAGATTTGGTGCAGAAAGGGTGATTACTTTCCTTAATTATTTTTATTACATTTATAACAATTCCAAATGATTTTTAACCATTCAGAACCATCCATAACTGAGTTATGAAGAATTTGCTGGTTTTACTGAGGTTACAAATAGGGCATTGCGCCAACCTCAAACCAATAATTTCAAACAAGATGATTTTTTTTGTCAAAAGTGTAATAATAAACCCATCATAAAATGGCTTTTTGGACAATATTTATCAATGAATGATCAAAATCCAATCAATAATGAGTGAGATGTGTTCCTTTTGTGCAACTCGTATGATTTCCAGTTTTCACAAAATGTATAAAATGTCTGTCAAGAGTAATTAAGTCATACAAATACTCGTAGTGAACCCCCCATGAAATTATTTTTTGAATAATTTTCATTATTTCATAATCACATTCTGATCGATATTGAGTGAGCTGTGCACATATTGTGCCAGTTGTATGACAAGAAAGGTTCACGATATCTCATTTTTGCACAATCAATCCTTTTTTTGTGCAAATTTGGTCATCAAGCTCATTAAGCAAACATAAAAATATAGAATGAAACAGAAACATCACACAAGAATAAACTATGATTTATCTCAAGAAGAAGTATTAATACACCTCGTCTCCCTTACAAGCCGCACTGAAAGACATTACCAACTCAAAAAAACAAACAAATACCCGACAACAACAATACAACTTAATTTATGGAGAACAATATTGTTAGATATGGTTAGAGCTTACGGAGGCTCATGTTTTATGGTAGTTTTTTCAATCGCATATCTTCCATGTTACACGCATGATGTGGGATTCGAACATCGACCTGGCGTATAAGCGATATATACTACAATTCCAGGGACTTTGCAAGAATCAAGTGTCACTTGCACTACATGCAAAGTGCTGACCCCGCATCCGCGGGGTCGCGGTGACGCTGCACAAAACCCAAGGGGGGGGTCTTGCAAAAGCGGGGGGTCAATCTGGGGTCAGCGCGACCCCGCACCCGCGGCGTCACCACCCTGCATGTAGTGTTGTCATTATGAAACTTTTCCTTTCAGCACTTCTGTGCGCGTAGGAAATCTTTCCAGATGGTTTCCTTTAGTACTTCTGTGTGCCTAGGACACTATCGCAGAAGGCCAAGTGGGATGTTAGCCGATAAACCCGTTACAATCCAAATCGACTTCACGACATGTTACAATCACTCTGATTTTTTTGCATTTTGGTTGGTAAGGCTTCAGCTCAATTGACACTCTTCTTTTTAAAGCTTACTATCCTTGGTCAGCCTTTTACAGGCTGGAGATACCTACAGTACTACCAGACACCAGATACATATATAGTGTATGGGACTTGTAATTTTACCTTCTCATTTTCGATATCATAAGATAACTTTCTTGATCATCAATTTCTCACAAATGTTCATGTTACATTTTAGCAGATAGAGTAAAAATACAACATATGGTATTACTATGACTATTCAAACAGTGTTGCTGGGTTTACAGCAGAACTAATATCTATCAAATCCAGCTTGTGTATAAGCCCAGAAACTGCATCATCATGCTCACCATCTGAGCTACTGTCATCATCGTTGATAATCACAGAATTCTGGCCTTCGATATCGTCCTCGTCCATATCCTCTTCTTCTGTAACCTCTTCTTCCGTAGCTGTATCAATATCACCAGGAATCATAGACAGATGTCCCTCTTTGAGGAGAGTTGTGATATGATCTATCTGATTTTCCCATGTTTTCTTGAGGTCTTCATCTCCAACTTGGCTATGATGTGTCCGAGAAAAAACTTCAAGTAGTCCTTCATTCCACATGAGCTGTAGGTTTGCCATTTTAACAACCCGATTGTTGATGACCACAGTAGCTGCGTTCTGACGAGCCAGAGGAGGTAAACATGAAAGTGTGGGGTGAGAGGTCAGAGTAGTCGCTAGGATTGGGTCAGAGTTTGGTACCGATTTCAAAGAAAGGAGAGTCCTCCAGATTTGATTGTGGCTCGTGATTGCCCAACGCATAGCTCGGCGAGCCTCCCAGCCAAGCCGCCTGAGCTCCTCGGTTGCTCGATCAGCATATGCAACTTGCTGCATGCCATGTCTCGTCTTTGGATCTACTGCCCAAGGTGCTTCCAGTTTTGTGAAGAGAGAGTTGTTCCAGAAGGGATGATCTGCTTGGATATGAATTAGATCGTTATAATCAATATTTTCTGGGAGCTGATGGTGTGGATATTCCGCGTGGTATTCCGCCCGACGAGTTTGATATGTTTCAACAACTTTCTTAAGCTGTGTTACATGCTTCCGAAGTGCAACAAGCAAATTGGTCTTTCCCTTATGTCCTAGTTGGAAGGGAGAGTAGTAAGCTTCACACTTGTATTGAATCTCGTTCCAATTTGTGACTTACCTAGATTTGATTCATGTCCATCTGTGCGACTCTGTTGGAGTGGTCGCTTTTCCTCACATATGGCAATATACTTCAGCCCAACTTTGTGCTTACTGTACCAGAGCTTGAGGAATGCTTTCTGCTCGTTTTCTAATCCCAGAACATTTGCAGTGCCTACTTTTGCCGCCTGCTTATCAATTCGCTCTTTCAGATCAGCTGTGGACCGAAGTCGAGCAAGAACCTGTTCAGGTGTAAGCATTGGCTTTAACCTGCCAAAAAAACAACACTGTCAATAATTATAAATCCTAGTATATATGAATCGACTTACCACTCAGCTTCTAGTTCATCATGTAAAGATAATAGACGACCAAGTTCTAACTGTTGCTTCAACAAGACTGCCTGCTTACTTGTGTATGCTTCGCGCTCGGAAGCCCACTGCCCACGGAAAAAATCGGCT